GTGTTGATCTTAAGAGCTTAAAAATGAAGTTTGGGCAAAGAAAAGCGATAGTTTGCAGGACATGGCAGGAAAGGTCTGAGGATTTATACAGGTGGGGAGCAAGGATATACAGATCACAAGGTGTCAAATCAAAGGTCCCGATGCTCCAGCTCTGTTTCTGATGAACCCGTTCCCAACGGGAACTGGAACCCAACTGGAACCCAACGGGCTGGAGTGAGGCTGGCACATCACAGAGCAATCTCCTGGCATGGCGCTGCGGGTCAGGGGCTCCCCACGATGTGGGTGATGCCCCGCTACTTAATGCTCCTGGGTAGATTTGGGTTTTTTTCCTTTGTGTGATTTTTGTCCGATGGCTCCTGGGATCCGGCAGCAGAGGTCTGCGTCTTAATTACGCCGTGTCTGGAGAAGCACGGCCCTTTGTTCAGCCGGAATCTGCCAGCTGCTGGCTTCAGCTGATAGCCCAGCCTCAAATCAGAGGGGAGAGGGAACAGTTGCTGCCTGTTCGTCTTTGCTTTGTCTTTTGATTTCGCTGCTGAGGGGCAGTGGGTCGGTGCTTTGCACAACCCCTCATCGGCCAGAGCAACGCTGCTCGGCTCAGAATTTTGCTTTTCTCTATCTGTGCTGCTTCAAATTCTCTCTGGGTGATTTTCACCCACCACAACGTATTGCTCTCCCTCATTTTTACTGCCCTAAATAAAAAATTACCCAGCTTTCTGCCCTTTTCAGCTCATCCCTGGGTGTGCATCAAGAACCCCCCAGCGCCAGGGTTCCGTGTTGCTCTTGAAGGCTGAAGCTGCCCTCGCTTTGCTCTGATAAACCTTTAAACCAGCTGAATCCATCCCTGGTGTTGTATGGCATGCAGGAAAGTGCAGAGGAGGGCTGGAAAACCGCCTCTCAGCTGAAATTTGTCTGAGGCCAGAGCATCTGTGACCCTAAACTTTGCTCTGGACCCCTGCTTTGCCTAAATTAAGATATTTTTGCCTGTTTATTGCTTTCCAAGCAAACATGGATGTAGCAGGACCCTTCAGAGCTGTTTGCTTGATTAAAATCCAGTTTTATTTTCTTTATGGTGTTGTCTGAAGTACTAGAATATCGCTGTACTGCATGATGAAGAAATCTGCTGCTTGCTGCAGTGCAACTTCTCAATCCTGAAGAACCTTGTGGCAGGAGATAAAAATATTGTAGGACAGAAAAAAGCTCAAATACAAACTCCCTGGGCAGCGAGTGTGTTCGCATACAGTCACAATCACATGCTGCAGTTAAAAATCTTGTATTTTCTAGTGTGAATCTCCAGGGTTTAAAACCCCAAAGCAGAAGATGTAAAAAACTCGAATTGAGGGGTTTTTTTCTATGCACGCTCTTGGTGAGTGTTTATGGTGCAAATTTAAACAGAATCAGATGACTCTCCTTTAGTTACCTGATTGCAGAAGCCTGGTTTTGAGAAAAATAACAAGCAGCAGCAGCAGCACAGCCCGGATGGGAGCGTGACAGCTTGCAAGGCTGCATTTTTCTTTAATTTGCAAAATATTGGATAAAAAAATAATCATTTCTTTCCCAAATTGCTAGCTGTGAAGTCAAGCGCGGCTTTTACACGGAGTCATTTGATGTGAAAGGAGAGCCCCGACCATTTTTCTGAGCGGGTGCTGGTAATTAAAGCTCTTTGGCACGGCTGTTTTGCAAGCAGGATGGACGTTCCTCCTGAGGACCCTCGTACAGCCGCCGTGATAAATGAGTGTCTCTCCTGGCTTCGGGAGATAACAAATGCCATTCTCCGTCTGGCAGAAGCGCCCGGCCACCCTGAGCTGACAAGAATGCGCCCGCTCCCTCCCCACACCTCAAACTGGGGGAGACTGGTTTTCACTGGGGTGAAAAACACCCATTTAACTGGGGGTGCTGCCTGCAGACCCCACACATCTCCCAGTGCGGCAGCTTTCCAGCCCAGACGGGCGCGTGCTGCGTTGTGATGGGGATGCAGGAGCATTGGGTACCGGGGGGGACCAGGGACGGGCAGCGCTTGGCTCGCCAGCCAGCCCCATGTGCTCTCTGCCCTAGAGAAGAGTCCCTTGTTTTTGTTTTCAGAGGCTTTCCCCTTCTCCCTCCGAGCCACAAACCTTCCCTAAAGCTGGCCGAGGCGCACGGGGCGAGGCAGGGCATGCCGGTGTCCCCAAGGAGCCGCAGATTCAGGTGCGGAGCGGGGTTGGGTTTGTGCAATCCTGTAAAATGTTGTCTAAACAAAACGCTTCAAAAGATCCTTTAATAACTCCCAAAATGAAACCTTTGAAACCGACCCTTGTAAACTCTTCACTGGCATTTAATTGCCCCATAAAACAGGATGCTGAAGAGAATATTAAAGGGTTTTTTTTGCTCGCTCAGATCAGTTTAACCCTTGGGGGACCTTGTGTCCAGCTGTTTCTCTCCCACTGCCTAATGAGCAGTTACCACTTTCTTTCTTTGCCTTTCACGATCCATCACCGGCTCCGATCCGCCAGACCTCG